ATAGTTTTTTAAAAAACAAGCTTATAAAGAAAATGTGCTTATATAGGAGGTGACTATAGAGAGGTTTGACTGTACTATATATATTATTTTAAAAAACTAAAGTTTAGATTGCTCTATTTACTGTATAATTTATATTTTGCTAAAAAAGTTTAAAATCTTATATAGTTTATAATAAAGCTTACTATATAACTAATAAGATATACAGTATATATATTAAATTCTATAAATACAGTAGTAGTATTTAGATATTTAACTTTTGCTTTTGTGAGTTATATCTAAATACTACTCTAATTATTAAAAGTATACATATATTATTTATACTGTTATACTATATATATATAAAGTGTAATACTATATTATATTACAGTATTATATCAGGTTTTATATCTAGAAATTTGGATTTTATTATATAATTTATGTGTAGTCTGTTTATTAGGTTTTGTTTTTAAAATACTAATAGTCTTATTATCTTCTTTGCTGTATAGTAAACAATGTTTCGAGTTAGAAAAAATTTTCAAACCGATTATTTGAAAGCTGGATAATTACTGTGTTTTGTATAGTGCGAGAGTCTAGTCTGGGGTTGTTAATGAAGTACTCCAAGCTATAATAAAACATATAAACCACTCTAGTTTAAAATGAAGTGGTTTATATGTGTTTTTATAGCTTGGAGTACTCCATTTAACAACCCTAGCCTAGCATATTATTATTATATTAATATAATGCATAAATACGATATTTTTTTTAATTTTTTTATATTAATGCAAAAATCTTTAAATCGCTTTTTTTTTAAAAAAAAAAATCTGATTTTTCTAATAAAATTTAAAAAAGTTTAAAAACTAAATACATAGTTGGTATATCTTATTAAAGCTACTTGAATATATACTATTATATTTGATTTATATATTAGCTATGCAGCGGCTTTTGCTTCTTTCAGAGCTTGGTATGTACCCTTTAAAGAAAAACCATAAAGTTAGTATCATAATTAACTAATTTGCTCAATTTATTTTATTTTCTTACCCTCTTAGCATAACGCTGATTACGAAGAAATTTTGGATCAACCTGATAAAATAATTCAGGAACGATATAATTTATTAAAATAACTAATGAATGGACAGAATGATTAATAAAATACTATAATAACATACTCCTTTCAGAGATGGATATCGGTATGTTTTAGGCTTTTTAATACCATTTCGGTGAGCCTTGCGGTCTTATGAAAAATTAAATTAGGTAAGAAAAGGTTATAAATGAAAGCAACGCCAACAACTTACTTTGATTATGATTAGTATGATTCTTGCTTTTTGCTAAAAAAAATGAAAACCAATTATTATATATAGACTTCTTTATTCGATTAAATCATTGAACTTACCCATTACACTTGAATAAAAGCTTTCTGATATCGATATACAAAATCATGTCGAAAGTTTAATCTATTTATACACTGCATCTGACCAATAATATAATGATTACAGAAGAAAAAAAATTCTTTCATGTGATTTTGGTCAAGACCGGAATCCGCAGTTTCAAATTTATGAAATACTATTTTTCCAAATCCTGACTTTGTTGATATAACGAATTTTGCATTGTTCGACAATTCAATTATAGACCATCAAAGATTGTAATAAAAGCCTTGCAAAATATGGCTCATTTTATTGTTTTACGTAATATAAACATAAAGTATTAACACTCACAACTATTTATAACTAATACGCAAAATTTTATTATAAACCTAATCTTAGGACTTTAATTTTTATATAACCTTTATGATACACATTTTGAAAATTGACTGGATATTAGAAACGTAGACACTTTTTTTTGCCATAGGATGGGAGGTCACGGGTAACAACCTATACAATCTTTATATAAGTAGATTCTAAACGTTTATCTAATTGTCATATAAAAATATACGATACGGTATTTATATATATATGATAGGCTATATGTACTGACCCAATTAGGTTCGGATGCGGTATAGCAAATTTATTATATAAAGTCGGTGTATCCAGTGTAAATAAATGTTATTTGTTCTGAATCTTTTAGTTCGCTATAGGTATGGTTCGGCATAAAGAGAGTCGAATGTATTTATCTTCGGCTAGACAAGAACCTTTTTGAGCCCCTAGATGAAAGATAGGGATATTAAAGAAAAAAAGGACAAATGGAAACGTATGCTTGGTTTCAATGTCTTCGATTACGTTTCCTGCTGTTTACACATTTCAACGTCATTTACGGAAGAACGAGTATATATAAAACCATTTGCCACGAAAAATTTGGATCAAATAAAGGACATTCAAAAAATCTCTCCCCAAGTCTCAATATCTTGAGAAGGTACTAACGTGCATAATAAATAGAATTGTGAAACAATATCTTACCTTTTTCCTGTTCGCCCTCCACCTTTAATATTTTCATCATGATAATCCATGCTACTGTATTGGTCAATCGAACCACTCATGATTTCCATATGATCTGCGTTCTTTGAGCTTGATTTAACTTCCTTTCGAAGACGTTCTACCTCTTTCTCATATTCCTCCCTTTGCTTTTTGTTTTGAACAGCTACATCACGAACCTGTATAATTTTGGCGTCGATGGCCTTCAAAATTTCTTCCGACGTTTGAGACCTTATTTACGAGCGATAATTTCCAATAATAATTTAGATCCACCTTTTAACTTAAATTTTATAGTTATATGATACTCACCATTCACTTAAAGTTCGTAACATTTGATCGATTTGTCCCGGTCGCAAATCTCTACCCATAGTATATTCTATTTCAAGTTGTTTCCTCTTTTGATCCAATTTACCTTTGATGACATCCTGATATATCGCTTCTATAATTAGGTCCTCAAGTTCACGTACATTAGGTATATCAAGATATTCCAAAAGGGTATCATAAGGAATAGTCTAAAAATTGATAAAAACGATGTTATCAACTGAAATATCTGTTTAAGACGTTTAATCGAATGAATTAAATACTCTTGATTTCTCGGACAAGGAGACAATTGACAAATATTTTAATTTGTTAAGTTGAGCTTGATCCAATGAAGGTAATTGTGAAATGCTTTCTGATAATGAGATAAAGTCATCATTAGCTTTAAAAAAATAAATTTATTAATGGTATAAATCAAATTATATTTTAAATACCTTTATAATCCTTATATGTTCCATATGAGAACAGCTTTAGCAATGTATAGTATGATTGATATTGTTCATTATGTTCAAGCTGAAAGTAAAATAAAGATTTTATTCAGAAATATTAATCGGACCATAATAAAATGAATCGTTGCATGTGCGAGATTGTTATCTAGAACCACTTATGAAAACGAATATAATATCCTAATACCTCAGCAACATTAGGCATAGTTAACAGC